AAAAATACAAAAAATTAGCTGGGCATGGTGGTGGGCGCCTGTAATCCCAGCTACTTGGGAGGCTGAGGCAGGAGAATTGCTTGAACCCGGGAGGTGGAGATTGTGGTGAGCCAAGATCATGCCACTGCACTCCAGCCTGGGTGACAGTGCGAGACTCCATCTCAATAATAATAATAATAATAATAATAATAAAAAGAAAGAAAAATAATAGTCTCCCAGACCCCCTGAGATTAGGGCCTGAGCACCAGCATTTTAAGGCTCTCTGGGTCATTGCATGGCACACCCAGGATGCAGAACCGTGGTGCCACAGGAAACACTCCAACATAACAACAGAGAAAATCAAGAAAGAGAAGGCACAGGATCAGGAAACAGGTTCCAACATAAAAACCAGGTGAAGGGAACCCCCAGGACGACAATGGGCTGTGGTATGAGGGCAGCAGTCCACATCAGAACATACCTGGAGGCTCTGGGAGCCGCATCTCCAAGAAGACGCAGCTGCTCCGACACCCGGCATGAATGAGAGTGTAGAGAGCAGATGTGGACAACTGGCTGAGGGTGTGGAGCTGAGTTAGTGATAAAGACACGGAATAAGCAAAAGAAAAAAGCAAGACACATGAAATTTTAGAACTCTGAGAGTTCTAAATTTTTACTACAAGGAAAACAAAAAGTGTGCAAGGGGGCAAAAAAGTTTCAGTTTAGTTCAAGGCTTAATGCTGAGCAGTACATGTGGCCCTATGAATACATGCACATGCATTTGCTTTGGGGTAGGAATGACATCTGACTCAAAGATAATGCTATCTCCATCCCAGCAACTCGGGTGGCTGAGGCAGGAAGATCGCTTGAATCTGGGAGGTGGAGGTTGCAGTGAGCCAAGATCGCGCCATTGCACTCCAGCCTGGGCAACAAGAGTGAAACTCCGTCTCAAAAAAACAAGATAATGCTACCTCCCAAGAAGCAGCAATGCAAGCATGTTATTTAGTGATACAGAGGTAAATGCGAAAGAATCACCTGCAAAGTTGAAAGTCATTGCCTTTGGGACCAGAGGGAGCTGGGGCTTCTGACCGTCTCAGCCTTATAGAACCAGTTGACTCCTAATCAGGAGATCAGCAAACTTTTTTTCTAAAGGTACAGATAGTAAATATTTGACACAAGACCAGCTACATAATCTGCAAGGCCCAGTGCAAAACGAATACGTGGGGCCTCTCCTTCAAAAAGTATGAAGAATTTCAAGATGATGACACCCAGGGAGGAGCCCTCCAGAGGGCAGGGCCTTGTGTGTGACTGCATAGGTCACATGCCCCTGATGCTGGCCATGGTTTCAGGCTTTCCAGGCCACATGAACTCTGTCCCATCTACTCAACTCTGCCATTGTACCACAAAAGCAGTCACTGACGATATGTAAATGAACCAGCCTGGCTGTGCTTGAATAAAACTTTGTTAGCAAAAACAGGTGAGGGGCTGGATTTGGCCCACTCCCCTGCCTATGAGTATGTATAACTAATAAAAATGAAACTTTAAAAAATAAATAAAATCATTTTCATCAGGAAAAGACAATGCAGATGAATAATCAAGAACATTTTGGAACCCGGGCACAGTGACTCACGCCTGTAATCCCAGCACTTTGGGAGGCCCAGGCGGGTGGATCGCTTGAGTCCAGGAGTTTCAGACAAGTCTGGGCAACGTGGCACAACCCTGTCTCTACAAAAAATACAAAAATTAGCTGGGCGTGGTGGTGCACACCTCTAGTCCCAGCTACTTGGGAGACTGAGGTGGGAGGATTGCTTGAGCCGAGGAGGTGGAGGTCGCAGTGAGCCGACAGTGAACCACTGCACTCGAGCCTGGGCAATGGAGCAAGACCCTGTCTCAAAAGAAAAAAAGAAAGAGCATTTTGGAAGACAACAATGAGTAGGGAGTTTCTCTCACAACTATCAAGACTGACTCCAAAGCCAAGGGATGAAAACGATGGGTGTTGGCTCAGGATTTGATATGCCAGCCAATGGGAACAGAGACCAGGAAGGGGCCAGTGCATCTCCAAGGAATCAGTCAGTGTGAAAAGGGGTCACCTCACCATAAGGATGGAAAGAAGGAATGCTCACTCAACACTGAAACAGAGGGCTGGGAAGGCACTGGCCCCAGAGCTCAGGAGCCACAGGTGACAGGCTCGCTTGCACAGACACCCACCTGGGGCCCCATGGAAACTCCTGGAATATGGGCTCAGTCCTAGGGAAAAATCTCTCTTAGACCAGTGGTTCTCAATGGGAGGAGAGGGGACTTTCCCCAGGTGCATTGTCACGACTGGGTGGTGGGTGCTACTCACGACTGGGCGTTTCATGGGCGGGGCCCAAAGATGCTGCCAAATACCTACAATGCATAGGACATCTCCACACCCCACAGCAAGGAATTGTCTAGTCCAAAATGTCAGTAGTGCCAGGGTTGAGAAACTCTCTCTAAACAAAGTTCCATTCCTCGCAAACCTCTGACCTACTGCAGAGGGCCTGGAAGGCCTGTGCCCCAGGCACGCCTGGCCTGGTCCAGTCTGCTAGGAGTGACCGGGACTTTCCACCTCAAGCTCCCGGAAGTGGAAACTATGCCGCCCACCCTTCCTGCCCAGGAACTTTCTCCGCTGACCTGCCCAGACCCTGGGCTTCAGCGCCGCTATTCTCTCTGCCCACACTGCCCGCCCTGGGCAGGCCCTCCCTTGGCACAGTACAGGCTGCTGGCCCAGAACCCTGGGAACATTCTTGACCTTTGCTTTGGCTTCCTCCAGCTCTTGGCAGCTTCTTGCTGGCCCTTGATGCCCATGCCCCCGGCCCAACTTGCTGAAGCGCCCGTTTTTCCCTCTGCCCCTCCATCTCAGGCTGGCTTTATCTTTGTGCCCTCCCTTGGGGAGTCCTGCTGGGTGCCCTCATCTCCCAATGGCCAACCCAGAGTGAATGTGGGGCTCCCCTGGCCTGGTTTGGAGCTGCTTTTGGTCTTCTGTTGCCCCAACCTGCTTCCCCACCCAGATGGGAGGGTATGTGGACTCCTTTGGAGCTTTAAATGGAAGCTGGGTGGCCTGTGCTTTCCTCTCCTCCTCCTCCCTGAACCCACAGTGACCTTGAGCAAGGCACTTCCCCCGTCATTGAAATGCGAAGAAGCTGTGCCTCTGCGGCAAACAGAGCAGAGCGGTGTTGGGGGGAAGGGGGAGGGAGCCTGTAGGTGGGGGAGGGCGCATCCATTATGCAGATTGTGTGGAGTGCCTTCCCTTCCCCAGCCAGGAAACGCCCTCCCAGGGGCCCTCAAGTCTTCCTTGGCAAAGAGGGCGTGTTCTCAGCAGCCTTGCTTTCTGATGCCCTGAAGCCAGCCATTAACCTGACCATTCCAGGGGAGAAACTCACAGGATTTTGTCCTTGAGTCAGAAAAGGGCCTTGGCAGAGAAGCCCGAGGCTCTCTCAGGGGCCAGCCCAGAGCCGAGAACCCCTGAGCGTGGTTCTGGAATCTTCAGCTCTGGCCAGTGGGGGCTCTTCCCTGTTGATGTCAAGGACTCTGTGCCCGGCAGGGGTTGGGCACGGGGGTGGGGGGGTGAGGATGGGGGAGGAACAAGTGCAAAAGGTGCATCGTGGCTTGTGTTCCGCCCTGCTCCTGTGTGACCTCTAGCCATATGCTGGACTCCTCTGGGCCACAAGCTCCCAGCTGGGAAAATCCCAAGGCTCCTCGTGTGAGGGTCAGGAGAAGCCTGAGGCTGGTGACTAGGGCCAACCAGCCTGCTGGCAGCAGCGTCCCCTACACGGCCACCCTCTTGGGGGGACAGGACAGAGAATGCCTGGGTGGGCCCCGGCTCTCATTGTCACTTAGGAGGTCTGTGGCCCTGGGGGGCATCCCCACCCCTCTGAGCTGTCACAGCAATGTGATAGATAGGACACCTTGCCTGGGGCTCAGCACAGTCCCTACCACAGACTGAGTTCCACTGGGACAGCAAATCCTGGGTCTGAGGCCCCCACATTCTAGACATCCCTGAGTCAGGGCACAGAAAGAGCCTCGTCTTCCCAGAGTCCTAATGCTCAGGCTGCTGACTCCCTCGGCTGGGCCCCTCGGGGTCCCTGGCGACCTAAGAAGCAGTTAACTCCTTCACTTCTCCACCGCAGGGAAGTCTGAGGACATAGTGGTTCTATTCAAGCTTTTCCTTGCAAAGGGTCTTACTGGGGCCTGCATCCAGGGCCTGGCCTAGCCCTGGGGCTCTGGAAACGTGAGCAGCAAAGGCAGGGCAGAATGCCTGACTCTGGCAGCCGAGCCTCCTTGTGATGGTGTCGGTGTCACCACCCCTGCTAGTGGAACCCAATCTGCCTCCCCTTCCCCTGCTGCAGGGACGGGGACTGGAGCACGCTTCCGCCTCCCTGGTCACAGGAGCACGGGAAGCAATCAGCCCAGGAAGCCGTGGCGTTTCCTTCCTTTCTCACCAGCCCATCCGGGCTTGTTGAGAGAGCGTGGGCTTGTCCTGTGGAGACTGCAGCTTCTGGATGTGGGAAGGAGAGCCTTGCAGGCAGGGGGCTTCCAGGCTTGGGATACCTGGGCATTCCTGGTCCAGGTACATGCACCCTCCCACTCTGAGAACCCCCAGAGAAGGACTGCAGGGCCCCTGCAGGGCTGCCGGACAGCAGTTCCCAGACCCTCACTCCTTGGGGCTAAGGGAGCAATGTCTCCCACAACCAAGACCCCGGGGAGGAAGAGGAGCAGCCCCCTCCTCCCTCCTGTCCACCAGGTCCCCTCATCCTCCCTTTCATCAAAAGGAGGAAGGTGGCCTGAGACTCAGGCATGGAGCTTCCTTGGTGCTGAAATCAGAGCAGAGTGTCTGGATCCACCCTGCCCCTGCCCTGCACCCCCTCCCCGCCCCACCACTGAGAATCACCTGCGTTTCCCAGCCCTGAGCAGAGTTGGTGGCAGGCGGGAATGAGGTTTTCCCATGGCTAGCTGCTCAGCCACTGCTCCCCACACCACTGCCACCAGCCCCTCACTAAGGGGCCTCTTGCCCCTCCCTGGTCAAATCCGTTTTCAGGAAAGGACCCAACAGACCTGCAACTCAGAAGCCAAATGAGACCTCTCCCAGGCAGGTCCGCTCTGCGATGGCGGCTCTCATACACCTCATAGAAGTGTAAGTTGGCCTCCCTCACTCCCTACATCCATGTAGATGCCCTTAGCCAAACAGGTCTGGTGTGCGGGGGCAGGAGGGTGGGGGTAGGAGCATCTGGGGGTTGGAGCTGGCTCCGAGTGCTGCGAAGAGTTGACTATGAGCTCTGGAGTCAGACTCAGATCTTGCTCCTTAGCTGTGTGACCTTGGGCAAGCCCCTCAGCCTCTCTGAGCCTCGGGCTCCTCCTCTGTAAGTGGGGCTGTTGGAGGGATGAACTGAGATACACATGGCAAGGTGCCTGGCCCCGAGACTAGCCCCGTAAACAGCACCTGCTGCTCTGACTGAGGGGCAGTTGGAGATGAGGGGGGACTTACAGGCCCAATACCTCATCAGCAGGAGGGGCCCTGGCCCTGTACAAATAGAATGTTGGAAAGCTGTGTTCTGGGTCCAGTTGCAAGACCATCTGCCCACTTTCGGGGTCACTGAGGCAGAGCTCCCTGGATTATGCTGTGGAGAGTAGGGTACCCTCTCTGCTCACTGCTGGGCACTCAGAGTCAGGTCCCCAGGGAACTCAGATCAAAATCTGAGGGCAGCCTTGCTGGGTGTCAGCTTTCAGAATTGATTTCTTTCGAAGAACAGGAGGCATGGCCAGGTCAGCTGGCAATGGCGTCAGCCACAGTCCCCCAGTGCCCCATGCTGGGTGATTGATGGTAGGAGCTGTGCCTCCCCACCAGCCCCCCAAGCCCCATTCCCTGCCATGGCTCCGACAGGGAACTCCCTGTCATTCTTAGGTGGATCCTGAAACACCAAGTCCAGGCTAGACTTGTTCAGCCTCACAGCTGGCCCAGTAGATAGCTTCGATTAGCCCATTTCACAGATGGGACATGAGGTCTAGAGAGGCTCTGGTCTAGCTGAGCTGGGACTCAGATCCTACTCCATGACCTCTGCCAAGGTCCAGGCCCTCTTACCGTCCAACGGGATCCTTGCCGGTGTCCTCAGCCTCTGCCCTCCAGACCCCAGGTAGCCTGGAGCTCTGCAGATCAGACAGCCTAGTACTGGGAGCCTGGGCCCATACCCCCAGCAGCCCCCAGCCCAGGGGGCCCCCAAGGCTGAACAGCAAGCTCAGGATCATCTTGGCGGCGGGGCAGGCTCAGCTCACACTCAGCCTTGGCAAGTGGCTCCAGAAACTGCTAGTGACGTTGTCTTCAAGTTAAATCTCAGGAGGAAAAGAAAATATGAGGACAACAAAGAGAGGAAGTGGCCTGGGCCGGCCTACCCGGTGGGTCTTGTCCTGCCCCCCAACCACCCTGGCTGGCCCCCACAGGCGCTGCCAACCACACAAGCCAGTTCCTGTCCCTGAGGACTTGGCTCAGGGGACTCTGGGAATGTGGTAGACACAGCGGGTGGCCCCACCAAACGCATCCTTATGGGAACCTGCTCCCTGGGAGCCATGAAAAGAGCGTGGACTTTGAGGTAGGGCCACAGGAAGTGGTCAGGTCCATCTCGGGGGACCTGCTGCCCAGCCACACTGCTGGCTGGGAAATGGGGGGCACTTCATGCCTCCTCAGCACCGTCAGCTCAGAGAAGGGAAGGGACTATTCTGGGGTCACACAGCATGCAGCCAGAGGCCAGGACATGGGGAAGTCCTTCACTTCCCCACCCCCACCCACCTCAGATCCTCCAACCAGGGTCTAGTGGCATCCAGGATGCTGGTGGGTAGCTGCACAGCCCAGGCTGCGGGAGGTTGGCCACTCTCACCTGACAGGCCTATGTGGAGCCCTGACCCCTAACTGGGATGCTGGGGGACATTGACCAAGGCGCCTCCCCTCTCTGTGTCTGTCTGTCCAGTTGTAGCCTAGACACAGCGCCCCCGGGGCCAAGAGCACCCAGCTAGAGCTGCCCCCATGGGTGGGCAGGGCAGCAAATGAATGAGGGACAGGGATGGGTTGGGAGGTGGCCAGCCCCCTCCAGCCCCTGGAGGGCACGGGGCAGGAGAGCTGGGCTGAGCCAGCAGGAGCCCAGGGAGCTTGGTCTCTGCCTTCCTATCCTGGAGGAAGGTGAGGCTGGGCCTCCTTCCCTCCCTCCTTCCCTCCCTGCCCCCACTGCACGCGGGGCTGGCTGGGCTCCAGCTGGCCTCCGCATCAATATTTCATCGGCGTCAATAGGAGGCAGCGGGGACAGCCGCTGCGGCAGCACTCGAGCCAGCTCCAGCCCGCAGCTCGCAGGGAGATCCAGCTCCGTCCTGCCCGCAGCAGCCCAACCCTGCACACCCACCATGGATGTCTTCAAGAAGGGTTTCTCCATCGCCAAGGAGGGCGTGGTGGGTGCGGTGGAGAAGACCAAGCAGGGGGTGACGGAAGCAGCTGAGAAGACCAAGGAGGGGGTCATGTATGTGGGTAAGTGGGGCATGGCAGGGTGGGACAGTGTAGTGGCCAGAGGATGAGGTGCCCAGTTACCTTCGCCAGACCTTACCCCCAAGCCCCAGGGAGGCATTTTGGGAGGGGGTGAGGCCCTGGCTATTAAGGTGGGGTCTCCAGACCCTGGAGCACCCACGATGCCCTGTGCACACCTATGTGTGTTTGTCTCTGGCCTTCTCGGGGCCTCTGGGTGTCAGAGACCGCAGACAGGGCTGGCTACCTGTCTGTGCATGCACAAAGACATGCCCAAGCACACCAGCCTCCCCTGAGCCTGGAGCCCCTGAAGCTATGAGCAGCCTGTGCTCAGGTGGCCCCCACCCTCTCCACATGGGAGCAACTGCAGCCAGGCCACGGATCCCCACCCTCCCCAGAGAGAAGGGGTGGGCTGGGGGATGAGACCTAGGCTCAGTGTTCCCTCCCCCGCATCCTCTCCTGGCGCTCTCCGGAGGAGGAAGGGGAGGTCAAACCAATGACTCAGCTCTGGCCCGTCCTGTTGCTGCTTCTGAGGCCCGGCCACACCCAGGCAGGGGCTGGACCCTGGGTCTAGTCAGTGTCCCTACCTCAGGCTTGCTCTCTCTTGTCCCCCACCTTCTGTCCTGTCCCCTTGCCATCCATCCACTTCTTCCAGACACAGCAGGAAGAGGCCCTCTGAAGGGGCCACTAGCCCACAGACACCATCCTCACTCCCGCCCCACCCCGGCCCCCACCGCCCACCCTGCAGCTTGTCCAGCTGTTCTGTTGTGTTTGTCCTGACTGCCCACAACACCTGGAGTGGGGTCCGGGCTGACGGCTCCATTTCCTCCCCAGGAACCAAGACCAAGGAGAATGTTGTACACAGCGTGACCTCAGGTGAGGAGCCTCAGGGCCAGGGGACACGTGAGGGCTGGGACCCCTTGGGCTCCTGCATCCTAGTGCTTGGGCTCAAACCTAGAGTCCTGCTTTACCCCCAGCTGGGGTCCCAAACCCTGCAGACCCTTGCAGATCATGAGGCTAAACTAGGGTGGGTGTCTCCTTACCCCCACCAGCATCAGAGGTGCCCTGGAGTCTGAGGGAGCAGGGGAGGATCCCAGCAGAGCCAGGGCTCTGAGCTCCTAGTAAGGGGCTGCGAGACTGACTCCAGCAGGCCTGCCTGGGGGCTGGGGCGGAGGCCAGTCAGTGTCCTCCCGCAGTGGCCGAGAAGACCAAGGAGCAGGCCAACGCCGTGAGCGAGGCTGTGGTGAGCAGCGTCAACACTGTGGCCGCCAAGACCGTGGAGGAGGCGGAGAACATCGCGGTCACCTCCGGGGTGGTGCGCAAGGTGAGCCCCTGCCCTCAGACCCTCTCAGTCCTCTCCTGGGCCCAGAGAGGCTGCTGGGTAGAGGCGGCATCACTCCACTTCACACCCCAGGAAACATGACGGGGGGCTGGGGCTGGCTTCAGTTTCAGCACCGAGCACGGTGGGGTCCATGCTTGCTGTTCGACCTGCATTCGGGTCTGGAATCCCCACAACCACCCCATCAAGGGGACTTGGGGGCCCATCTCATAGACAAGGAAAGTGAGGCTCAAAACCACTCTTTCTGGACGGCTGTCAGCATTTAGGAGACACCATATTTTATAAGTGAAAACAGGGTCCCACATGGTAACAGACAGCCTCCCGGGCAGTGGTCACCAGGCCGGGGGCTGAGTCGCACTCGCCCCGCCCCCAGGGCCCAGCCTCCCTCCCTGCGCTGGGCGGGGCAGCTGCCTCCTGCTGGGAGCCTCAGGGAAGCAGCGTCCCCTGGTGGTGGGAAAGCAGTGCTGGTTCTGACCCTACCCTGTGCAGCTGCCTTTGTGTATGTGTGTGTGCACGAGTGCTGAGTGAGCATGTGGGTGCATTTGTGTGCGAATGTGTGGGTGTACATGTGTGTGAATGTACACATATGTGTGCGGCCCAATAGCAGACAGCACAGGAGCAGTGGGGCGCTCCCCAGGCATGGGTGTCTGCTGGGTGAGTTGTCCCAGCACCTGAGACACAGCAAGCTCTGCTTTATGCATTGTACGCTTATTAGTTCATTTAATAGACACAAAATCCCATGAGACGGTGTGGAAACTAAGGCCCAGAGAGATTAATGTGCCTAAGGTCCCATGGCTAGTTCATGTGAGCTTGGAATTCCCCTGAGCAGCCTGTACTCTGAGAGACCCTGTGGCAGTGCAGGGGCTGGCCTGGGCTAGGATTCTAGCCTGGGGGTGGGGTGGGGGAGCAGTGTCCGGCTCTCCTACCTGCTGCAGACCTCCTAGGTGGCGGAGTCTGAGGCTCCCAGCACGGAGAACCCCTGCGTTGGGAGTGGGTGGGTGGAAGGGTGGGGGCTGCCCTACTCCTCTTGGCTTTGGGGCAATGCCCAGGTGTCTGCTTCCAGGGCCAGCACAGGGTCTCCATGTCCTTGGAGCTGGCAGCTGCTCCCTCTCCTAGTTTCCCTTCCTCGTTGTATGACCTCGAGAAGTGAAGGAAGCTCTTTGGGCCTCCGTGTCCTCATCTGCAAGATGGGGGTGAGAGTGTCAGTCTCCCTGGGCTGTGTGATGAGGCAGGGCCATGACCTCCATGAAGTGATTCTCCTGGTCTATGTGAGCACCCAGCAGAGGAAGGTGACCATCATCATCATCATCATCATCATCATCATCATCATCATGTGTCCTGGGCAGAATACATAGAGCCCCAGGAGGCCCCTCCCTCCTCACCCCCAGCAAAAGAGACGCTGGGGTGAGGGTGCCTGGGCGTTCCTAGTGAATCCTGGAGCAGGGCTAGTGAGCCCTTGGAGCCACCTCAAGGGAGACTCATTTCCTGGTGACACCCAAAAACCAGTCACGACTCATCTCCCAGTGAACTGTGAAAGGTCTCAGCAGGGACTATCTAGCCGCTCATGCCCTTGGCCTCATGATCAGCCTTAGGGTGGCAGGACTCAGCAGGTGGCCACCTGCCCTGCCCCTGGAGAGCCTGGTCGACTCCAGCCAGCACAGCACTGCCCTTTTATGCCCCACTCTGTCAAGGGGCAGGATGGCCCTGGGGCAACACAGAGGTGACAGGATACCCCCCACCAGAGGCAGGTGCTGAGGCCAGAGTGCAGGCCAATCACCAGTGTGGTCCTACATACCCAGCTGTCATGATCTCTCACACAAGTGTCTGGCTGGCATGGAGTGCAGGAGATAGAAGAAGATGGAAAGTGGGAGAGGAGTGTGTAACCTCTGCTGGCCCTGACAAGCCTGAGCCCAGAGCCTGTCCAGGAGGCAAGGAGAAGGACTCATGCTCCTGGGGACTGAAGTGGACCTGGAGCAAGCCTGATCTGATGCTGACACACCCCACCACTTTGAGCTCGAAGGCCCTGAGCTGCATGCCAAGCCTGCCTGGCCTCAGAGTCCCTATGTGAACCCCAATCGGCCTTCCTTGTAGGGCTACTGAGGGTGGGGTCAGACCTGGGGCTTCAGGGGCCTCTGCCTACTCTCACCCCCACTCCACCCCACCCCACCCAGGTTCCTCATCAATGAAGCCCAGCTAGGGGCTTCCCAGAGACTGGGGACCAGTTTGAGGGGTGAAGCTGGGCTCCAGGGTACTTGGTGCCCCGGAAGGCCTCGGCATCATCAGACAGAGCCCCAGATATTGTCTGAACTGCACACCCCCAACACCTCCAGCCCCTCCAAGTACAACACGGCCATGAGGGGCCTCTGCTCCTCCTTGAGGCCAGGGGAGACAAGGCCCTGGTTGCAGGGCAGCTAGGGGTGTCTGCATTCTCTGCATGGTCTCATGCCCCATTTTGTCCCCACAGGAGGACTTGAAGCCATCTGCCCCCCAACAGGAGGGTGAGGCAGCCAAAGAGAAAGAGGAAGTGGCAGAGGAGGTAGGAGCTGGGCTTCTGGGGTGTACCATGGCGGGGGTTCCTGGGTAGAGACCCCGTCCCCCACAGACTCACTGCTTCCCTCCTGGGCTCCCAGAGCCCACCAGACCTTCCGCAGCCCCCACAGGGATTGTGGGCAGGGCTAACCCTGAACCTGAGTGGGAGGTCCCCCCACGGATGACCCCTCAGGCATGAGGCACAGGGGACCTTTCCCAGCCGACTCAGGGTGGCCCATTAGGGCTGGGGCCCGGAGCTGGGTGTGCAGGTCATTCTCTCTCCCAGGCCCAGAGTGGGGGAGACTAGAGGGCTACAGGCCAGCGCGGACGCCCTGAGGAGCGCTCCTCTGCCTTGGACACCATCCCTTCCTAGCACAAGGAGTGCCCGCCTTGAGTGACCTGCGGCTGCCCACGCTCCTGCCCTCGTCCCTGGCCACCCTTGGCCTGTCCACCTGTGCTGCTGCACCGACCTCACTGCCCTCCCTCGGCCCTGCCCGCCCTCTGGTCCTTCTGACCCCACATATGCTGCTGTGAGTTTTTTTTTTAATGATTCCAAATAAAACTTGAGCCCACTCCTGCCATGCTTCCTCTGGGTGCTGTGTAGCTTGAGGAAGGGTCCCCAGGTCCGCCCAGGAACAGGAGCGGGTTCAGCCTGTTGATAGGACCAAGTATCCTACAGGGACACACACATGGCATTCATGGGACCTGTGAGAGCAGGCGCTGCCTTCAGCAACACCCCCAACCCACCCATTGCCTTTAACATGGAGGAGGCAGCACTGCCTTCGGCTCCCCAAGACATTCGACAGGACTCACAATCCCATCCACAGGACAGCTTAGCTCAGCCTCAGGGTAGCCCCCGCCTGCCTGCTCTGCATCCCTGAGGAACCCACTGTCAGCAGGAGGCGAAGACAGGCTCCTGGGCCTTCCCTCCATGTGTGGCCTGGGCTCCAGGGTCGCATGAGGAACAGGGCCACCTAACATCCTCCCTGGGGCAGACGATAACTTTCAAAGATGGAGAAGTCTAAACCCAGTGAGGATCCCAGGAGAGACAGGAGGTGACCCTGTGGCGCCTCCCACCTGGCCCCACCCAGTCTCACGCTCCCCACTGGACCTGGAGCTGGGTACCCCTTGCACCCCTGCTACACCCAGAAGCCTGCCACGTGCCACTAAAAACACAACAGTGGAGATGCACGAGGCTGCACCTTGAAAGAAAAGTGGTGAAAAGCAACAGCTGCTGAGTTCCTTGCAGGCGTTGCCTGGGCACTTGTGAGCACTTCACCTTATTTAATCCTCAGAACAAACCTCTCAGGTTGGAGCTGTAGATCCAGGTTTTGCTGAGAAGCACAGGACCGGGCTCCCCAGCCCTGCTATGGCTGCATGGGCCCCAAGGTGCTTACGGTGGATTCCCCCAATCCAAGGTTTCAAAACAACCCAGGGCCTGCTGGCCAGTGGCCTACACGAAGGGCTGTTTGCCCAGCCCACTCTGAGCAAGCCCTTCATATAAGCCACTGGCCAGCAGGCCCTGAGTTGTTTTGAAACCTTGCATGCCCGGCAGGCTTGTTCAGACCAGAGTTCCCTCGACATCCCGCCTTCCCCTTTGATACTCAGATGCATTTCATCTGAGTTTGGGCTCAGAGCATTTCAGTGGCTTGCCCCAGGCCTTCAGGCCTGGGTGTTGGGGCGAGAGCTTGAGTCCGTCCACATGTGACTTCAGACACTGCCCTGTCCACACCACCTCCCCATCCAGCCTCTGCAGTGGATTCAAGGGCAGCCCAGGAGGCTGGGAGCCCAGTCAGACCCAGCTGAGCCAGGCTGTATCTACTGTCTGGCCATGGGCATCCACTGAGGAGGCAGAATGGAGCAGGGGGCTGCTGGTCTCCACACCCCCAAACCCTGCCACGGGCAGGCATGAAGGGTCTGGAAGCAGCTCAGGGCAGTCAGGGCTGTTCCTGCTCCCCAGTCCAGACATGTGCACATAAGCAGGCGTGTATGAACCCCAGGAGGAGGCCACCTGGGGCCTGGGTGTGCCCGAGAGTCCTCTGGGCTGTGAAGAAAGCAAGGAGAAGCAAAGCTGGTCAGCTGATAGGGGTGAGGGAGAGGGCACCTATGCCAGGCTCCCAGCGACAGCCTTCCCCAGGCTCCAGCGCCCTCTGCCTCTGCTGGAGGAGCCCAGAGGGGTCCCTGCTGCCCCTACCACAGCACCCCCACGACCCCCTCTCACATACACTCAGGGCTTGTTCCTGGACTCAAATGACCAACATCACCAGGAAGCCCCTTCCCAGCCACGGGCACTGGCAGTGCTCTTTGCCTTTGAACCCTCATGTGCTCTGCACCCTGTGAGGCTGCTTTTGACCTCCCTGCGGGAGCACAGTCAACTCCCCTTATCCACTAGGATACACCCAAGATGTTTCCAGCTGCCTGCAACCCCAGATAGTACCAAGATAGCCTACATATAATGTGTCTTCCTACACATACACATGTGCTTCGCTATGATGAAGTTTATACATTAGGCACAGTAAGAGACCAACAATAACCGATAAGAAAATGGAACAATTATAACAATATACTGTAATAAAAGTTATTTAAAACATGAATTGTTTATTTCTAGAATTTTCTTTTTCTTTCTTTCTTTTTTTTTTGAGACGGAGTCTCACTCTGTCATCTAGGCTGGAATAGTGGCGTGATCTCTGCTCACTGCAACCTCCGCCTCCCGGGTTCAAGTGATTCTCCTGCCTCAGCCTCCCAAGTAGCTGGGACTACAAGTGTGCACCACCACGCCCGGCTAATTTTGGTATTTTTAGTAGACAGGGTTTCACCATGTTGGCTAGGCTGGTCTCAAACTCCTGACCTCAAGCTATCCATCCGCCTCAGTTTCCCAAAGTGCTGGGATTACAGGCGTGAGCCATCACGACCAGCTATTCCTGGAATTTTCCCTTTGACATTTTGGACCTTACCAATTGCGGTGCAGGGGCCAAGGGAAAACTTTCCCTTTACCCTCTGAAGGTTCACTGAAAAGTCAGCTCATAAAAGCAGATTAGAAATGGAATACACATTCACTAGCATGCATGGGGGAAATCAGAGTGACTGCCCCACCACGAAATGGGGTACAGATGCAATGGGGAAGTGCGGGTGATTTCAGGGGGCCAGTAAATGATTTTCAGGGGAATTCAGTGGGTTTGAAGAACACACGGTGGCCTGGAACAAAGTCTGTTGGGCTCACACAGCAGACAACGGTTGGCAAACCCTGTCCAGGTGTGTGAGCAGGCTTCAGTCTTTCTCCCTGTGACGTGAGTTCAGTCAGAGAAAACTCTGGGAAGGGACCAGGGGTCATCGTTTTCTTCTTTGGTGGGTCCACACTTTAGGCAGATGAGGGACTTCACGGAACAACTTCACCGTATGATTTGGAAGAGACAAAGGATTGAGGGGCCTGGGGGAGCCTGGTCAGAGAGACCTTAAGGCTTCTTCAGTTCAGAATGTCACAGCACTATATATTGGGGTATTGGTTTCTGAGCCCCAACAATGGGTAACTGAAACTGCAGAAAGTGAAATCACAAATTAGCTGGGCATGGTGGAGCACACCTATAATCCCAGCTACTCAGGAGGCTGAGGCAGAACCGCTTGAACTTGGAAGGCAGAGGTTGCAGTGAGTTGAGATCCTGCCATTGCACTCCAGGCTGGGCGACAAGAGCAAAACTCTGTCTCCAAAAAGAAAAAACGGAAAAAAAAAGTAACACCACAGCAAATGGGGGTGGGGGGGGGCAATGGTAATTTGGTAATGTGCTTCCTCCTTCTGCCTGCCCTTGTCTGAGAAGCCCCGGTGCCCTGGACCCTCTTACAAAGTCCACTGCTGCCGAGTGCTGGGCACCCTTTAGCCCATTTAATCTTCACAAACACACTTTGGGGAGATGCTGTGATGTAATGGGGACGCTGAGGCTCAGAGAGGTGAGGGGCTTGCTCTAAGAGTATATGAACCCAGGAGGTTTGACTGCAGTGCCTGCCACTAAGGCCACACGGAGCTATCACTACCATCATCTGCTGGGGACTGGCTGTCTCTCCCCACAGAGGCTGCTCCCTTCCTGTCCAGCTCACAGCTCATTGCCCATGGGACCCAGAACCCAGTGGCACCAGCAGCCTGTGATAAACTGGAGTGCTCAAAGGCGTGCCTGGCTATTGGACACTACTGGTGGGATTCAGGAGGGCTGGCAGGGCTGCGGCTGGCCAGGCAGGGCAGGGCTGAGCTGGGCTCCCCAGAGTGCCCCAGGCATCGATCTGGCCACTCCCAGGGCGAGGCCAGGCTCTGGTCGAGGAGGGGCGGGGGCTGGGAGGACTCTTGTTGCCACTTTGTTTTGCCTGAGACCCGCTCCCTCCCCTTTCCTCCACCTAATCTCATGGCTTGCCTCTTCCCTTTGCCCAGGGTTGACTTTATCTCCATTAATCCATACCCAGCGTGTGTGTGTGTGTGTGTGTGTGTGTACAGGTGCACATCCAGACACCTCCCTCTAGGGGCTGACCCTGCACCACTAGAAGCAGGGTATGTGCCAGCAGACCGGGCCTGGGTGGCAGGGGCTTCCCAGCGCTCCAGAATAGGGGAGACGCCACCAGAGGTGCAAGAAACAGCCCCAGACAGGAAGCGTTAGAGAGACCCAGAGAGGCAGGGTGGGTGAGCACTGGTCTCCAGGTCCTGAAGACCGACTCTGGAATGGGAGTACACCCAGCTTGGTGGGGCCTGACCTGCGCCCCCTTGTATGCCAGGGGAATGTATCTCGCAGGCTATTTTGCTGCCCCCAGGGATGACCTTCTCCACTCTGGCCCAGATCCCTAAGTCCCCTCCTAACAGTCACAAGTTGTACCCTAGAGCCTTGCCTGCCCCATCTCAGGAAAGGTGACCTGAAAGGCCCAAGCTTATTCCTGCCCTCCCTGAGCCATGCTTTCTGCCCAGCTTCCTCAGGCTTCAGTGACTGATGGCAGTCTCCTTGCCTGGGCTGCACAGGCACACTGCCCTCTCCCCCTTGGGGTTGCATGGTCTGCAGGTGCACACTCCTATGTCTCGCCCTCTCAGGGGAAGGATTTACCAGGCCCTCTCCGTCTGCATGCACTGGATTTCAGTGGCTACAGGCAGAGAGCCAGTCAGCAGTGCCCCTGCAGGTGTCTGGGGCTGGGGGCTCTGACGTTGCCAGAGCCCTAGGGTTGACAGGCACCTAGGCAGATTCGAGGATCCAAGTCCCTGCCACGTGAGTTTGGGTGAGGCTGACCTCGCTGCCTCAGTTTCCTCCTATACACTGATGCTATTAATAAAAATACCCATCTCAGGAGGTGGTTGTAAAGATTATACAAGAGACTGCAGAGTGTTAGGCAGCGCCTGGCACAAGACAAATGCTCAGTAAAAGACCGCTGCTGTCATTAACGTCAACACCAGCCCTGAGCTCCTGCCCTGGAGCTGACCCAGTGCTCACGCCCAAGATAAGAAAGGGAGGACTGGGGCTGATGAGCTGGGAGGAGGTGTGCGCCCTTCTCCTGCCCCCAGCTCCTCTCTGGACCCCTGTCCTAACCCTTCCTCGGTCCCTGGTTCCGTCTGCCCCTTTCCCAGGGCGGCCCGTCTTAGGCCAGGATGTGCTCCCTGGCCTGCGGACTCTGGAGCAGGGCCCGGCCACTCCCCGGAGCCTGTATGACGGGAACCGCCCAGTGTCCTCTCCCCTACGCGGGGCAGGCCGGCCCTGGGGCGCCTTAAAAACCGGAGCTGGCACTTGGCAGCGCCACTCTGGGCTGGATCCAACGTCGCTCCGGCTGCTCTTGACGACTCCACAGATTCCCCGAAGCTATGGCCAGCAAGGGCTTGCAGGACCTGAAGCAACAGGTGGAGGGGACCGCCCAGGAAGCCGGTGAGTACAGCGCGCGACCTAGGGCCCAGGCAGGGGCAGCTGCGTGGACGCGCAGGCAGAAGCGGCGGGTCTGCACGGTCGGCAAGTTCGCGGACCGGCAGCTTGGCTCGGAAGGCTCGGTCCTCCACTGAGACGCAGGGGCGGGCAGGACGCCCACCCCGGTCCGCGGAGAGATGATGCCCGGAGGGAGGCAGCGGAACAGAGGCTCCAGAGGAGCCGGAGCCGGAGCCGCGCTGCGGGCACTGCGGAAGCCCCTCAGAGGAGGACATGCCGGCGCTGGGCGGCCTCACCCAGGCCCTCAGGCAAGGGTGAAGGTCCAGGTCCAGGTCCGGGACCAGGACCGGGGGCGGCCCGCCACCACCTCCAAGCGCGCCCGCCACCAGAGGCTGCCCCAGACCCCAAAGGGCTTTGTTTCCATCCCATCCCCAACCCCGAAAAGTAATCATCTTCTTACCTTTAAGTCCCCATCTGGCAAAGAAGGTCCTTAGTTCCTCCACCTCCAGCTCTCTCCTCCTTATTCTGGAGGTGACCCAGCTGCGGTGGGGGCATGGGAGATGTGAGGAGACCACTGCCTCACTGGGTGGGCTCTTCCTGTACCTAGCCCAGCCTTCCTCAGGACTACAGTTCCTTATCAGTCCTGCTCATATCCCAGTCAGGAGACAATATCCAAACCAACCCCTTCCTTCACCAGTGCCCCAGGGGAGGCCCACAGTTCTTCCCTTGAGACTAAAATGCTACCAAGGAAGCCTCCGTGTCAGCTTCTTTCCTTCTGGGCTTCACTTTTCCATTTGAGAGCTGGGTGCAAAGGATGGGCTGCTTTCTGATGGGTTAAATCGAGAGGAGGATCCCAGGGGCCTCTCCGCACACTTGCCTCACTAACCCTCTCCGAAGGATGGGGTCTGGATAAGGCAGGCCCTTTCCTGTTCAGCAGCAGGGACGAGTTACCGCTCTGCAGGCCGGAGCCACCTGTCAGCCCACCGGCGGCTGGTGACTCCATTCCTGGCAGGCGGAACTGTGGTCCAGAGGAGATGGCTGGCCTTGGAAGTTTTGCCTCCTTCCTGCGCTTGTCTCCTAATGCCTTGAGCTGCCTGTCCACAGAGGCACTGGCTTTGCTTGTGTGCCGTCCGGGGCAGGCCACAGGAGAGGGGAGGCAGTGAGAACCTGGCAAAAGTCCAAACCCCAGGGCCAAGTGCATGAAAGGTGGGTATTCAGGCATCTGGGCCAGGCTTCTAGCCGAGAAGCTGTAAAAGGGGGCAGGGGTCTTCTGGGCTACGCCCAGCATTAGCCAACAGTCCAGATGCTAGCTGCAGCCTGGCCCTGCCCTGCCTTCCTTCCTCTGTCCAACATTTTCTCAGCAGCCCTGGAGATGGAAAGGGAAGCTCCTCCCCCACAGAGGAGGAGCTCAGAGTTAGAAATCAACAAAAACATCCCAGAGGCATGGAAAGGGATCCTGCCCCTCGGGCTGGGCGGCCCTGGGCCAGGGACTTCATCTCCATGGCATCCATCCCTTGGACCTGTACCACCGAATATTCTGGAGAACACATGAGGGGCATGGCAATGGTGGGGTACCTGTGGTCAGTGGTGCCTCAACAGGGGCTAAAAGCCACATCTCTCTGTTCCAGTGTCAGCGGCCGGAGCAGCAGCTCAGCAAGTGGTGGATCAGGCCACAGAGGCGGGGCAGAAAGGTCTGGTGGGGCTGGAGGGAGGCGGGCAACCCCAGCACACCTCCCACTGCCCCGCCCCATCCCGGCCGGGGGCCCAGGCACATCCTCTCCTATGCAGAGCCCTCTGTGCACAATGCCCCAAGCAGGTCCCTTGGAGACCCAGGCCAGGCTAAACCTACGTGCACTCGTTCCCGGGGCCCTGCCTGACCTGCCCTCTCTCCTGCCCTTCCCCAGCCATGGACCAGCTGGCCAAGACCACCCAGGAAACCATCGACAAGACTGCTAGCCAGGCCTCTGACACCTTCTCTGGGATCGGGAAAAAATTCGGCCTCCTGAAATAACAGCAGGGAGACTTGGGTGACCCTCCTCCAGGCGCCATCCAGCAGAGCCTGGCCCAGACCTCCGGGCATCCGCCACCTCCTCGGTCTGCCCCCTCATTAAAATTCACGTTCCCACCCTGTGTTCACTTCATGACTCCTCGCAAGCTGGGCCCGTCCTCCCATCCCAAGAGCAGAGCCACCATAGCTGAAGTCCTAGCTTCCCATATTCGGAAATCCAAGCCAACTGTCTCAGGAATGTTTTCCATCCCGCCACTCGCCTCCCGACGCTCCCAGACCAGAGGCTCAGCCCCCATCTCTGTTACTGCCCCTCCCCCGCCCGACTCTGGAGCCAGCCCCCGCCCCTTATTCCCTGCCCCAGGATCCCGGCCCTTCCTGGGAGCCGGACTGGACTCGGTCCTCAGATCCTCGGAAGGCTCAGCTCTGGGCGGGGCAAGGAGCCCTGCAAGGGCGGGGGCCTCGGGAACTTCTCTCTGCCAGCTGGGACTAGGGGCTGGGAACAGGGGAGACGACCCAGGGCTACGGCCCCTCGGGACTTCAGGCGGCCGGAGGTCGTGGGGGCGAAGCCGAGTCTGGAGCCGGGCTTCCGGCCCTCGCTACCCCGTCTGGGCCCGCGAGTTGCCCGCGCGCCCGTCCCACCCAGCGGTAAGTCATGGGGCAGGGCCCGCGGGACGCTTTGTTGAGTGGGGCGCTGCCGCCCGGCGGGGTCCCGCCCCGACACTCCCCGGGGAGGGGCTTCGGGGCACGGGGCCGTACACGTGAGAACGAAGCACGGGGGGGGGCCGTGCACGTGCGCTCCTGCGCCACGTGCAGGAGACCCCCCTCCCTTCCACACCGCTTCCCTTCGGTACAAACCAGTAACCTCCGGCCTTGGACGGTTTTGTTGGGCGGGTCCCGGATGGACTGGGGTTCCCAACATCCCCCGGCACTTCACGCGCGCGGCCCCGGTACGGAGTATGCCCTGCTGGTAGGTGACTTAACGTGGCACTGGTTGAGCGCCGGATGAGGCCCGGCCCTGGGGTGGGGCGCAGGCTGCTGCGGCCCCTTCTTCCCAAAGCCCGTTATGCCCCAGCGGTCCCCTAGCGGTTCTTGTCCACCCGCTCCACGTCCTTACCCTGGCACTACCTCCACCCGCAATCGCCTCCTCTCCGGACTGCGCGCCCGTGGGCTTTGCGTTTCAGTTCAAAGGTACCGACTAGGCGGTGCTTTCCAGTTCTGGGGAGATTCAGCCAGCGGACTCGAGGCACGCTCCCTGCCTTCTCTGGCGATGTCCCCAATCTGGCTGCCAGCCCAGGTGCTGCCGTGCAGGTCTGCGTAGGAGATCGTTCCCTTCTCCAGTCTGAGATCTCCGGCGCGGAGCACGGGTCTCTCACGCTCACCCCAGGGCTGCCACAGTTCCACGACTGGTTACTTGTTGCTGACTGTCCCCAAAAGGTTTCTTTGTAAAATGTGGGAAAGTCCTTGAAGAGACACCTGGAGCAGTGTCGGGGTCGCTTCCAGGAGCCCCCGCCTCCAGGAGCAGGTCCCAGGGCCTGGAGAGCGCGCCTCGGGGCCACTCCAGGAGGCTGGTGGGGCTGGACTGGCAGAGCCCGGCATCCTTCTGGTGTGCATCATTCCCATGTGACGCAGGGATGAATCCCAAGGGACTTTTCACCTATTCTTGTGAGTGAGCCCCTTAAGCTGACCCAGGTGCGGCCAAGGAGAGAGGTGAGGCCTGAGGCCAGAGGTCTTCTAGAAAAGACTCCTTGCCTTGAAGGCAGGGCATGGTGGCTCAGCCTGTAATCCCAGCACTTTGGGAGGCCGAGATGGGAGAATGGCTTGAGCCCGGGAGGTCGAGGGCGGCTGCACTCAGTCTGGGCAACAGAATGAGACACTGTCTCAGGAAAACACACACACACACACACACACACACACACACACACACACAAGCCGCCCTTCGTCTTCCACTGGACATCTTGTGGCAGGAAAGGATCCCTAGAACCAGCTACTTGCAACCGCAGGAGGAACAAGCCCGAGGAAAAGCCCACCTGCTGATTAGGGCAGAGCCTCCCAGACCTTCAGCCTGTTCCCACAACACCCTCTCCCTGTCCATCTCAGCCACCTTGACCTTCCCATCATGCTTCTGCTGCCTCGGTATCTTCACACCTGCTGCGTTTTCTGCCTGGCATACTCTCCATAAATCACCCTTGCCTATTGCTCTTCCAAACGTCAGGTCTCAGTGGCCTTGGGTGTGCGCGCACGCGCGCGCACACACACACGATGCATCAGGTCCCTAGTGACACATTCTCGTACCCCCTGTACCTCCTTTTTACAGTCACAGCGAATTAATCTGTTGCCTTCATGTGTGCTTCTCCATGGTGGTGGTTCATGGGGCTATAACCAGTCCTTTCTCCTTTTTAGTGTATGCCCAGTGCCTTCCGCGGTGCTCAGGCAGCACTGGCTAAATGAATGCATGGAGGACCATCCTTTTGTTCTCCTGCTGGATGACAGTGACTCCTCATTTTCAGGTTCACCATGGAGCCATTTCTGCAATGCAGCCCCTTCCACATTGCCCCAGCCCCATGGAGCTGGCACTCTCGTGGCACTGTGCAATTGCCTGTTCCTGTGTGCCTCTGCTCCCCCAACACTAGGAGCCCTGGAGGGCAGGGCCAGGTGGGACTTGCTTTTGGACCATGTCTGGGACACGGAGGGTACACAGCCAGTGCCTCTGTCATAGGTCCCTTGCCTGATTGCAGGGCAAGTCCATACACCCAAAACACCGGTTTGAAGCAGAAGAAAGAGGTTTAATTGCAGGGCTGCCAGATAAGATGGGAGAAAACCTCAAATCTCTCTCCGAGAAGTTTGGGGCTAGGTTTTGTAAGAGTTTTCGAACAAGTCAAAATGTGGAGATTTTTGATAGGTTCAAGAGTGCAGAGTGAAGTCATGGGGCCCGGGAGATGAAAAAAACTGTGTTCTCATGCTGATTAAGTTCTTCTGGGCTGTTCGAACTGGTTGGGGTCACTTGTTTCACTGGAATTTGGAATCTGAAAAACATTTTAGGTTGGATGCGGTGGCTCCCTCCTGTAGTCCCAGTACTTTGAAGGCCAAGGTGGGTGGATCATCTGACGTTAGGAGTTTGAGACCAGCCAGGCCACATAGTGAAACCGTGTCTCTACTAAAAATACAAAAATTAGCTGGGTGTGGTGGTGTGCGCCTGTAATCCCAGCTACTCGGGAGGCTGAGGCAGGAGAATCGCTTGAACCTGGGAGGTGGAGGTTGCAGTGAGCCGAGATCGTGCCGCTGCACTCTCCAGCCTGGGTGACAAAGTGAGACTGTCTCGGAAAAAAAAAAAAAAAAAAAAAAACCTGAAAAAACAAACAAAAAAAACATTTTAAGCAATTCCTAAACGAAAACATATGATTCTAACATCAGAAAGCCGAACTGTAGGAACAGTGGGGATGCAGATGGTCAGTATTCAGTGCCATGGGAAGTTCCATAGAAGGAATTTAGTCAAAGCACAGCCTCATTAATGCTTAATTATAGCTGCTAATGCTTAATTATCACTATATTTCTGTGTAGAGTGCTTGTTAACCCTGTGAGGACAGCTTCACCAGAGAAACCCTTGGGACAACCCTTGCCCAGGCTTGTCTTTACCAGGTTCATGGAGCAAGTGCAGCCCAGACTGGCTGAGGAGGAAGGACTGTGGCTACACTATACTTACTGGGTGTCAGTCAACTCTCCGGAGATCAGTTCTTCCGTTAGCAGTGCCACAAATAATTCCTAATTCTCCAAATTCCAGTTCCCCATCTAGCCCAACACACAGTCACTAATATTACATTGTGGTTCCACTTACAAATAACTGCATTTTCGGGTGGAGGTGTTCCCTTAAACCATTCTTTCTGGACGGTGTTCCTTCTTCCCTCCTCTTCTTCATCCCCATTTTCAGTCCGTAGGACGAGCTTCTTTGTATTTAATCTTCCAAACATCTACCCCTGGAGTTCTCAGCTTTGACCCCCATCAGACTACGCATGAGGCAGGGTGCAGATTCTTCCACTTTCACCTCCTCTCCCCTTCTCTCCCTCCCCCCTCCTTTTTAAAAAATGCTGTTTGTCCCATTTCTACACTGTGAAAGCACGTAGATTTCATTCCATTCCTTAGTCCTGAACCACACCTTTGTTTTTGTCTTGGATCTGCAATTGAAGATATTAAAAACTGTTTGCCATTCCTGCGACTGAATATTTTCTGCTGTCTCTTGGTTGGTTAGAATTAGTCCTACAGAGTCTTCTCTCTCTTTTTTTTTTTTTTTTTACTTTGAGACAGAGTATCACTCCTGTTGCCCAGGGTGGAGCGCAATGGTGCCGTCTGGGCTCACTGCAACCTCCGCCTCCCAGGTTCCAGTGATTCTCCTGCCTCAGCTTCCGGGATAGCTGGGATTACAGGTGCCTGCCGCCACGCCCGGCTAATTTTTGTATTTTTAGCAGAGACGGGGTTTCACCATGTTGGCCAGGCTGGTCTCCAATGCCTGATCTTAGGTGATCCATCCACCTTAGCCTCCCTAAGTGCTGGAATTACAGGCGTGAGCCACCGCGCCCAGCCCAGAGTCTTCTCAAGAATGAAATAGTTACAGATGATAAATGTTTACAGAGATAAGACATCTGGTACTTGAGTTAATAATTTTTATAGCTGGGTAATGGGTCCATGAGGGTTCATATATATATATATTTTTGTTTTGTTTTGTTTTGTTTTTTTTGAGACAGAGTCTCACTCTGTTGCCTGGGCTGAAGTGCACTGGCAAGATGTTGGCTCACTGCAACCTCCGTCTCCTGGGTTCAGGCGATTCTCCTGTCTCAGCCTCCTGTCTCAGCGCATGCCTGTAGCTGGGATTACAGCATGCGCCACCATGCCTGGCTACTTTTTGTATTTTTGGTAGAGACAGGGTTTCACCATGTTAGCCAGGCTGGTCTCGAACTCCTGACCTCAGGTGATCCTCCCACCTCAGCCTCCTGAAGTGCTGGGATTACAGTCGGGAGCCACCGTGCCCG